AGCTGAACTGCATGTGGTTTACTGAGAAAAGAGAGAACAGAAACAAACATCCTTGGAGAGCAATATGACAGAACAGAAAGTTTTGTGACAGACACTTTGTTGGACTTTTGAATTCTTTCGGATCCATAATTAATATGTTTGGAAAATAACATCTTGGTTATCGAGGGCTGGTTTTATATTTCTTTACTAATGTAGTATTGTACATTTAGTACAATTGTTATAGTTGTTATAGTTATGTGTGATCCCATTGCTTCTATCTGCTATCGTTGTGGTCCTTATATACAAGGCAGCCTAGGGTTGGTAGGTTTTAATAAAGAACTGAAAACAAAAACAGAAGTTGCTGGGAACACTCAGCAGGTCAGGCAGCATCTATGGAGAAAGAAAAGTGAGTCAACATTTCAGGTCGCGACCCTTCATCAGAACTGGCAAACAGAGGAGGGAGGCAGGACAAGGAAGACAAAGGAGGAAGTGGGATAGAGGACGGGGGCTGATGAGCAAAAAGAGGTGTCAATGATGTAAGACAAAGGGGGCTATTGTAACAAAGCAGGGGAATAGAGGTGTAGATACTTCACAACAAAGTGGGGGGGGGGGGGGAGATTGCAACAAAACAGGCAGACCAGAGAGAGAAATGGTGTGACTGGGACCAAGATGATGTGGTAATGGTCACAGACGAGGAGGAGGGGGAAGGTGAGCTGTTATGGTCTGAAATTGTTGAAATCAATATTGAGGCCACAGGGCTGTAAGGTTCCTAGCAGATAAATGAGGTGCTGTTCCTCGAGCTTGCGCTGTGACTCATTGGAATAGCGTAGGAGACCATGGATGGACAGGTCGGAGTGTGAGTGGGAGGGAGAATTGAAGTGGCAAGAAACCGGAAGCTCAGGGTTGTGGTTGCGGACAGAACTGAGGTGTTTGGCAAATCCGTCACCTAATCTGCGTTTGGTCTCCCCAATGTAGAGGAGACTGCATCGTGAGCAGCGAATGCAGTAAACTACATTGGTGGTAGTACACATAAATCACTGTCTCACTTGAAATCTGTGTTTGGGGCTCTGGACAGTGGTATGGGAGGAGGTGAAAGGGCAGGTATTGCATCTCCTGCGCTGGCATGGAAAGGTGCCGGGGGAGGAGAAGAACTCTTGGAGGTGATGGAGGAATGAACCAGGGAGTCAGGGAATGGTCCCTTCGGAATGCTGAGAGGGGAGGGGAGGGGAGGGAAAGATAGGTTTAGTGGTTGGATCACGCTGGAGGTGCTGGAAATGGCAGAGAATTATTTGTTGAATGTTGAGGCTGGTGTGGGGGAAAGTGGTGACTAGGGGGACCCTATCACAATTCTTGGAAGAGGGGCAGAGGTTTGGGAAATAGGGTGGATGTGTTCAAGGGTCCTGTCTACCACAGTGGGTGGGAATCTTCGGTTAAGGAAAAAGGAGGACATTTCAGCTGCTCTTATGTGAAAGGTGGCATCATCAGAGCAGATGTGGGGAACTGGAAAAAGGGAATGGAGTCTTTACAGGAGGTGGGGTGGGAGGAGGTGTAGTCCAGGTAGCTGTGGGAGTTGGTGGGCTTGTAAAAGATATCTGTTGTTAATCTATACCCCTAGATGGAAATGGTGAAGTCGATGAAGGGAAGAGTCGGAGATGGATCATGTGAATGTTGCGGAGGGGTGGAAGGTGGAAGCAAAATTGGTGAATCTTTCCAGCTCACTGCGAGAGCAGGAAGCAGCCCCAACACAGTTGTTGATATGCTACCTGAGGAACAGGTCAGGGAACAGACCAAAGAGTGTTCCAGGTAGCCAACAAATAGGCAGGCATAGCTGGTTCCCATAGCGACACCTTTCACTTGGAAGAAGTAGTTGGAGTTGAAGGTGAAATTGTTCAATGTCAGAAGTTCAGCCAGGCGGAGGAGGGTGGTGGTGGATGGAGACTGGTTAGGCAGCTGCTCGAGGTGGAAGCGGAAGACCTGCAGGCCGTCCTTGTGGGGATGGAGGTGTAGAGGGACTGTCGTCAATTGTGAATAGGAGTCAGTCAGGGCCCAGGAACTGGAAATTGTTGAAGTGGTGGAGGGCGTCAGAAGAATCATGGATGTAGGTTGTTTCTACCAAATGTATCCTCTAGTCTCTGGTATTCGACACAAGAAAAGGAGTAAGCATTTCAGAGGGTAGTTGTCAACGTCGGAGGTCTACTAGTGCGAGCAGACTCCAATTAGACATTCCAGTTAACTGGGAATACCTGTCTGCATGTGACTTGGACTTGGTTAGGAGAGAAGCAGATGCCACTTAGTACGAAAGTGTTAATAAAATTTGCATGTACGTTAAGGTGTGAGAACTGTTGTACAGTGTCTTGGCCAACAATCCTCTGGAAAAAATTATTCAATCATTTCATGGCTGTCTGTGAGATGTTGCTGTGGTGCAAATTGGCTGACGTGCTCACCTACAACAACAACAACAACAACAAGATTCCATTTATAAAGCGCCTTTCACGTCAGGAGGACGTCCCAAGGCCCTGCACAGTTCGGTCATGACCCGAGCAGGGGGGAAATGGTCAGGGTGAGGGGAGGGAAGGGAGGGAGCGAGGAGGGGGGAAATGGTCAGGGTGAGGGGAGGGAAGGGAGGGAGCGAGGAGGGGGAAGAGAGTCGAGAGGGGAGCTGAAGGCTCGGTCAAAGAGAAAGGTTTTGAGACCGGCCTTGAAGGAGGAAAGGGAGGAGGCGGCGAAGGCACTGGGGGATAGAGTTCCAGAGCCTCGGGGCTGAGAGGCTGAAGGCCCGACCACCGATGGTAGGGCGATTGGGGCGGGGGACGTGGAGCAGACCGGAGCCGGAGGAACGGAGGGTACGGGCAGGTAGGTAGGGGATAGTAGGTTGGAGAGGTAGGAGGGAGCAAGGCCGTGAATGGCCTTGTAGGTGAGGATGAGGATCTTGAAATCAATCCTCTGGGGGATGGGGAGCCAGTGGAGGCGAGCGAGGGTGGGAGTGATGTGGTCCCGAAGCCTGGTGCGGGACAGTACACGAGCTGCAGAGTTCTGAATGACCTGCAGCTTGTGGAGGGAGGTGGCGGGAAGGCCGGCGAGGAGAGAGTTCCCATAGTCCAGCCTTGAGGTGACAAAGGTGTGAACCAGGGTTTCAGCAGCGTGAGGGGTGAGGTAGTGCCGTAGTCTGGCGATGTTCCGGAGGTGATGGAAGGCGGTGCCAGTTGTGGTGCGGATGTGAGGGAGAAAGGACAGCTCAGGGTCGAACAAAACGCCGAGGTTCCTGACTGGCTTTGAGAGGTGGAGAGTGCAGCCTTGGATGCTGATGGTGTCAGCGCCTGAGGTGCGGAGGCGCTGACGTGAGCCAATCAGGAGGGCCTCGGTTTTTCGCACGTTGAGCTGAAGAAAGTTGTCTCTCGTCCAGGACTCGATGTCGGACAGGCAGCTGTCAGGACATCGGTGGTCGTGGAGTTGAGAGTAGAGGAGGAAAGGTAGAGTTGGGTGTCATCCGCATACATGTGGAAGTTAACCCATGTCTGCGGATGATGTCACCAAGGGGGAGCATATAGAGGGTGAAGAGGAGGGGACCGAGGACAGAGCCCTGAGGGACACCACATGAGACAGTACGGGGGGTGGAGGAGAAGCCATTCGTCGAGACAAAGTGAAGACGGTGAGAAAGGTACGACCTAAACCACTCAAGGACAGTGCCTTGAAGGTTGAGGTGGGAGGACAAGCGGTGGAGTAGGATAGCGTGGTCGACCGTATCGAATGCTGCCGATAGGTCGAGGAGGACGAGGAGGCAGAGGGAGCCCTGGTCACAGATGGTCAGGATATCATTGGTGACCTTGACCAGGGCAGTTTCTGTGCTATGGGCAGCACGGAAACCTGACTGAAGGGGTTCGAAAAGTGAATGGGTGGAAAGGAAAGAGCGCAGTTGGGAGGCGACAACTCTTTCCAGGACCTTGGAGAGAAAGGGGAGGATGGAGATGGGCCGGTAGCTTGATAGCTGCGACGCATCAAGGGAGGGTTTTTTCAGGGTGGGCGTGATGATGGCAGTTTTTAAGGGAATGGGGACAGAGCCAGAGGAGAGGGACAGGTTGATGATGTCGGTGATATGTGGGGCAAGAAAGTGGAGCTGGGAGATAAGGAGTGGAGTGGGGATGGGGTCAAGGGAGCAGGTGGTTGGTTTTAGGGATAGGATGAGTTTGGTGACAGAGGGTGGGGAAACGGGTACAAAAGTGAGTAGGGGAGGATGGGTAGCAGTCGGAGTGTGGGAGTGAGGGGGTGGGGAGTTGGTGGATGTTGGAGGGGAAGTGACCGCGGAGCAAATTCCCTTGATCTTGGATTCAAGGAAATCCAGCATCTCCTCGCAGTGAAGGTTGGAGGAGATGACCTGCGCGGGGTGGCGGGGGGGACGGAGGAGTCGGGTTACAAAATACACAGTCACTGTCCTTTACAGCCATGTGTCAGCCTAGCAAAGTGGTAGCACTCTCACCTCCGAGTCAGAAGGTTGTGGGTTCAAGCCCCAGATTGGGAATTGGAATTACACAATCTAAGTTGACACTCCAATAAATGCTGTGGATGTGTTGCATTGTTGGAGGTGCCGTCCTTCGGATGAGATGTTAAACCGAGGTCCTGTCTGCCTATCCAGGTGAATGTTAAAAGATTCCATGGCACTATTCAAAAAGAAAAGGGAGTTTCACCCAGTGTTCTGGCCAACAATCCCCAAATAAAATTGGTCACTCCATGGCTATTTGTGGGACACTGTTGTGCGCAACTGGCTACCACATTTCACCCACAAAATACACAGTCATTGCACTTTACATTATATCCTGTGAAATGCTTTGAGACGTCTCGATCGTGTGACAAGGAGCATGGATTATTACTATTGTTCTCTGTGTAGTGCTTTGAGATGTTTGATGATGCAGTAGTTGTATGAAGCACGGGGGTTATTATCATTTGAATCACGTTGCTGGATTTTTCACGTGCGGCAGCAATTTGGAGCAGCAAGAAAGAAATTGACAATGGTCTGTTGTGTTTGAAGCCATTTTATTCATCGTTTGAGGTTCTTCATTCTTACTTTCCATAGAGCATTTTGAAAAGGGGATAGTTACTAGAAGAGTCATGTGATTGAGAAATGATACAATAGACCATGAGAGCAGCAAAGCTTTAACAACGTATGAAAATGATGGCTGTGCGTTTGTGCCGGCCAGATCTCAAAGGTGAGATCTGCGGGCTGTTAGCACCAATGAAGACATATCGCAGTGACTGGTCACTGTGTATGGCAGAGGAGGCACGGGGAGAGGGGAGAGGGTTTGAAAGAAATTGCTCAAAATGAAGAACCTTCTCACATGTTATAAATGTAAAATTCACCCCGTTTTTTTTAAATTCAGATTACAGTACACTTTATTCCTTCGGGAAAAAAAATTACAGCTTCACAATATACACTGATCGTAAAACACACGCGCACGCACGTAATCTGTATGAAAGTGAATCCAATTAAATACTCTGAAACATGAAAAGTCACACACAAAGATTTTGAATTTTAATGGAAGAGATCTGTAGACTAGAGCAGATAAACTTGAGACAGGTCCACCATGATGAGCTTACTGACCGATGCTGTTCAGCAGCAGTGCAACCTTTACTGGACAGTCCAGCAACTCCAACAGAACGCAACAGTATAGATACAGGATATACATAGAGTTCTTCCTCGTTCAGAGGAATAAGACTAACAGGTAAGTCTAGGATTTTACACTGGCGAGGATTTGCTGATGGATAATTGCCAGCTTGCACCATTCAAGGTCCATCAAGCGAGCACCAAGCAACAACCCTTGACCTGTTAACTTCTGGGTCTGTGCTGCTCCCGACATCTTAGCACACTGTCCCATTTTCTGGCCTGGATTTAGGGCAGCTTGTCCTGGGGACGGTCTGGACAGAAGGTGCCAGAGTGCAGAAGAATCCAGCAATGAGAGTCAGCCCCAGGCCACCCCAAGCGCAGAACATGGACCAGCCGTAACCGTGGATGATGTCGTCGGGAAGACCGTACAAGTATCTGGGGTAGCGGGAGAGTTCAAAGTTAATTCCGGCCACACAGGTGCACAGTGAGATGATGCAGAAGGTTCCTGTGGAAACGAGAAATAAATACATTATTACAATAAATAATAATAATAATAATAATCCTTGCATTTGATATAGCGCTTTTCACGTCGGGAGAACGTCCCAAAGCGCTTCACAGAACACACTGTAAAGTGAATTGACTGTATATTTGTGGGCGAACGCGGCAGCCAATTGCGCACAGCAATGTCCCACAAACAGTCGTAGATTGAAAATGACCAATTTATTATTGTTTTGGGATTTTGGAGGGATTATTATTAGGCGTGTGGAGTAAGGAAACTTGCCCAAGGTTTCGCCCTCTGCCTGGAATTGAACTCAGATCTCTCGCTTGCAAAGCGAGTGCTCTAACCACTGAGCTACAGGACTCCACAACAAGTAAACAAATCATGTTAGCTCAGATCTGAAGGACTGGACAAAGCTCTGGTCACTCCACTATGCTACAGGAAGTATATTATAGCATTATAATAATAATAATAATCCTTGTATTTGATATAGTGCCTTATCATGTCGTTGAGATATCTCAAATGTACCTTACACTATTTGTCAGGCTGGCTCAGTGAGTAGCACACTTTCCTCTGAGTCAGCAGTTTGTGGGTTCAAGCTCCCCACATTGAGATTTTAAGCTCACAGTCCAGGCTGACTCTTCAGTGGAATGCTGGGGATACACTGCCTTGTCGGATGTGCCGTCTTTCAGAAGAGATGTTAAACTGATGCCCCATCTGCCTTTTCAGGTGAACTTTAAAGATCCCTCGTCAAAAAGAAAAAGCTGTTTCTCCCAGTGTCTTAGCCCACAAATCCTCCGTATAAAATTGGTCACTCACTCCATGGCTGTTTGTGGGACATTGCTGCGTGCAAATCAGCTGCTTTGGTTGCCTACAAAATACGCCGTCATGTCACTTTACAATATGACGTGTGAAGCGTTTTGAGACGCCCTCCCAACTTGAAAGGCGTGGTATCATAATGCATATATTGTTATTAGTATTGTGATCCACCCTTTTTCTCTGTCTGCTATCTGTCACCAAACCACTTCCCTCGATTGTTTCAAGACTCTTATGCAGCATTTTTATGAAATGTCGAATTAAGAATTCATTTTAATGCCAATAATACTCTTTGACAACCTCAATCAATTCAATTAGTCAAGTCAAAACTACCCTTTCCAGGCCAACTCTCCCAGAATAATTGCTGCCTTTTCAAGTGTTTATAAATTTCATCCTGTATTCAGGCAGCTCAGATTTTCCCTGTAAGTTAAGAGCAATTGGCAATTACATTTGCTGACTTATCCCTTTCATGTAGTTTCCACATAGTAATATAATAATAATCCTTCCATTTGGTGTACTGCTTTCTATGTCGGGAGGATGTCCCAAAATGCTTCACAGGATACACTATAAAGTGTAGTTACTGTGTTTTGTGGGCGAATGCAAACTGGTTGAATGTCCCAGCCAATTTGCATTCAGCAATGTTCGACAAACACCCTGAAGAGAATAACCAATTTTATTTGGATTGTTAGACACAGGAAGAAAGTGCTTTCTCTCTTCGAAAAACTCCCCAGGATCTTTAGCATCCAGGCAGTTGGGACCTTAATGCCGCATTTGAAGGGTGGTACCTCCAACAATGCAGCACACCCCCCACCCCATCCCTGCTTTGGAGTGTTAGCTCCATTGTGGGGCTTGAACCCACAACCTTTGATTGAGAGGCTAGAGTGCTACCAACTGAGTAAGGCTGATAACATGGTTGCAATAAGCACACTTTAGTCTGTTGTCTATAATCTATTGGTATAATTCAATTTTTTTCATATACTTTGGACTCTTTGCATTTGATATATCGCCTTACCACATAATTGAAATGTCTCAAACCACTTCACCAGATTTACTGTAAAATATAGTGTCTTTCTATTTTGCAGCTAATTTGCGCATGGCAACGTTCCACAAACAGCCGTGAAGTGAGTGACTAATTTTATTTTGAGGATTGCTGGCCAGGTCACTTACACTTTGCAGCATATCCTGTGAAGCGCCTTGAGATGTACTCCTGAGGTGAAAGGCACTGTGTAAAATGTAAACAGTTTATGATTATGTTGCAAAAGCTGACACCAGTATGACAGAATGGCCTGTTTCTGTGCAGTGAATTCTGTGATACAATTGGTATTTATTGTCCTCAGGTGCTCACTGGTGTGCAACATCCCAAGATCTGTACTCCATGTAAATCATTTCCCTATAATACTGTATAAACAAACAGAAATGGAGAGTATCAGTGAAATTGAAATTCTTTTTGGGGTTGGAAGAGGAATACAGATTGTTTTGTTTTGCAAGGTGGTGGTGCAGCAATTAAACAGAGTGTATAATTAAATGATATTTGTAATTGGTGCAGCACCTCACAAAACCAGCAAGCAAAGCCTTCATCACAAACTGATTTAATTTAACCAAAGGACGACACTCAAATTGAATTAAGTTTGAGTTTTGGCTGGTGGGGTTTGGAACAATTGTGATTGTTTGTGGATTCCTTTTCTTCAGATAAGGGGCCTGGAGGCAGTGCAGAGGAGAGTAATGAGGATGATCCCTAGTGTTAGAGGAATCAGCCAAGAGCAACGATTAGACAAGCCTAGGCTCTGAAGTCTTGAGAGAAGATGACTCAGAGGAGACTTCATAGAGGTGTGTAAAATTTTAAAAGGGACTGAAAAAGTAAACATAGAACAATAATTTAGGATTAATCAGCGAGTCTGCTTCCATCGCCACATTCAAAGTATGGCTCAAAACATGAAGGGATACCCAGATGACCTAATTCCAGAGAATATTGGTTGGAAAGAGGGTCCTCTCTTGCTCTCTCTACAAGGGTTAGGAACCTCAAGTGGGTGGGTAACTGCTGGAGTTTAACCAGGAGAACAGCAGTTCAAGAACATTCTTCATCCAAACCTTGTTGATTAGTGCCTCTTTTCTATTGGGGCTCTTTGTGGATTTGGTACTTAATCTGTGCGCTGTCCTGGGCAAAGATGATACACACAAAAAAAATTCATAACAGCTACAGAAATAAGCTGGGTAAATCACGTGGCATTGAACGTGTTAATAATAATCCTTACATTTGGCATAGTGCATTTTTAACGTCATGAGGACTTCCCAAAGCTGTACGCTTCACAGGATATGCTGTAAAGCGCAGTAACTGTGTATTTTGTGGACGAACACAGCAGCAAATTATGCTCACAGCAATGCCTACAAACAGCCATGGATGTGTGACAAATTTTATTTGGGGGATTATTGGCCAGGACACGGGAAGAACCTACCTTTTTTCCAATTGGTGTCATGGGGTCTTTAACATCCACTTGGATAGGTGTCAAAGGATGATGCCTTCAACAATGTGGTGCACACCCAGTACTAAAGCTTGTTAATACTGTGATGATTGTAACTTGTTGTGATGGGGGTGGGGGAATCATGCCTCTAATAATTACAGATAGCTAACTGGGTGCTCACTTTTTATCAAACCTGAAATCACAGGGGCACAAACAACAGGAAGGCACCACAGATCAACTGTGCATATCATTGAGTCACAGAAAAAGAACTTGTATTTATATAGCACCCTTCGCGCAGCACATCATCTTGGAGTGCTGTCAATCATTGGTCTGCGTTGACACTTTTAGTTCAAAGGGTAAATGCATTCAATTTTTTTTAATCACCAAGTATACATGAGGGGTGGGATGACTGAAGGCACAGGCAAAGAGGAAGGTCTTGAGAAGGGCCTTGAAGGAGCCAGGCGGGGGGGATGCTTTGGAATGGAGTTCCAGAAGGTAGGGGCAGAAAGGCTGAAGGCCTGACTGTCGATGGTGGGGTGGGCAGCACAGAAGATATGTAAATACTTCCTGGTGTCTGCCCTGAAATTGCCCTTTACAACCGTCAAATGGTTTCATCAAATGGTCTCAAAAATATTTCAGAGGATTACTATTCCAACAACACATCATCTCACAACTGATTAAAGCTATTGTTCCCTACAATGAGTCGACAATCCAATGCTTACAGTATAATTTAATGACTTGAATGAGTTATTTTTTTAAAAGATTATTTTTAGGATTGGCCCAATTGGTTTGCAATGTCTTTCTTGTGCAAGCAAATTGTCTAAACTTGAATCAATTCCTTTCAAAATACTGCAAACTTTATTAGATAAGTATGTTGGAATCGAGTGGATTATTGTGGTGGTCTTAGTGGTCCAGTTCCTGAGCCATGCGGATGCTCCAGGGAACTGCTGATAACAGAACTACTGGACTAGCAGGACTCGAAGGGGCAGACTGGGACACTGGGGTTAGAGATTCTTTTCACTCCTGTTAACTGTGCAGTCCCAAACCTAACCGGTATGGAGGTTCTGGTTGGAAAAGTAGCAGGAAGCTTGCCTGGTGGTGTTCTCAACGGCAAGCTATGCAGTTTCAATGGGTTAAACTCCAGCAGTACAACAACGCACACACTGGGGTCTGAAGCATTGGTAACCTGCCCAAATACGTTTTGAAATTAAGTAAATACGAGAGAATGTACACTCCCTTCCTGACATGGAGATTTTCATGGGTAGGTGGCATACATGGAACTCTGCCTGGTTTGGATACTCTTAAGCAGATTGACGGGTTTCTGCAGGTGTCAGATGGCCAGCTGACAAAAAAAACATTCATTTGAGTTCCCTTAAACTTTCATCAATACGAAGATTCCAGACAGCAGGTGTCAGCTTGAAATACATGGAATTAAAATGTCCAAATTGGCAGCGATATATGATGTTCAATCATCAACCTGGCCGGGATTATCTTCTGCACTACTGCTGTTAATTGAATGAGTAACACCCTGGTCAGGAGCTGCTTTGATGACAAACACACAATATGACCTTACCTCCCATCAGAAAGAGCAGACCAGCCACGTATTGCATCAGTCCCCGATCCCAGCAGCAACCAAGGATTCCGATTATCCAGCCAAAGAGGATGATGGCTACTGCCATTCCCATGAATCCAGCTGTCATTCTGCGCAGATCTGCAATAAGGGAGGGGGGAAGAGGAGGGCAGGGGGTAAAAAATACCTTGTTAACAAATCTACAAGGAAAACATTCTTTTTCCAACTTTCAAAGCACTAAGGCTTCTTGTCACCGAAGATTTCCTTGAAGAATTCCTTGCCCTTGTACATTTGGATTTGTTGCAATGAAGATTCACTATTAAAATAGAGCAGCTCTATCACACAGAGAGGTATACTCTCCAGAATTAGGTAAACGGTGTCACTCTGGCGAGAGAGAGTGTGCATTCCATTCCAGACACAGGAATTTATATGTGCCAGTTGGATACACATGTGGAACTTAAAGCCTGGTTTTGATTCTGTTGAGTACTGGGATTTTTTTTAAGTTAGTTGGATGTCTACGTCCAGAAGATTAGGAAGTACTTATCATGATAAATAAAGTACTTATCATGAGACCATGATTCCCATCAAGGTGAAGGTAGTGTTTCGTCCACCACTGTTCACTCAATACCAATTCCCTACTCTTTCCCTATCATATTGTTTATCCTCGATTGTTTATACATTTTCCACTTCAAATAACTTACCCTGAGCATCAAAGCATTTCCAATGTTCAAATGGCATTTCTTCAAACCTGCCCATTATCTCCTCGCTCCCTTGATGGATGGCTTCACAATAGGAGGAGTTCTGTTGCCAAATTTTCTATTGCCTAAGGAGAGTGTACAGTGAAAGGGGTGGACCTCTGATGCGTTGTGATTAGTCTCTGTGCAAGGACAGCTGTCCTTCCCAAAGCAGAGATGGTCACAGTAAATCAATTGGTTCCTGGCAACCAATCTGCTCAACCTTACTTGGAGAAAGTTTGCACTTCACACGATTGGTTTGGATGAAGAAGGCCCTTTGGCTTCCTTCCAAGATCCCATTTTCCCATCACAGCATCAAGAAGTTTCTTAAATGAATGCAGTATCATTGTCACGACTATGCTTGCTGGTCACCTGCTCCAGTTACAATACAATTATACTGCATTCTAACCTGCTCCAATTGTCTCTGGATGGCAAATCTTTTGATATTTATTCTGAATTGCCCTTTGGAACTCTGAATCTGCGCCGCCATTCAATCATGGCTGATGTTCTAATCTAACTCCAGCTTTCTGTTTTGAAAGCTACTATGGATTCTGCCTCAACCATCCGTGCTGGCGGATTGTATGATTCATTGTTGCAATGGAAAAAGTCCCAGTTCCACAGTCTCTGCTCACAGGCCAAACCTGTATCATCCTGCTTCAACTTCTCTGCACCTCTTCTATGACCTTGACATCCTTCCTAAAGTAATGACCAATACTGAACACAATATTCTGATTGAGGGCTAACTAATGATTTATAGAATTTTAGCTTTGCCCCTTTAGCTTTGTTGTCTGTACCATATTTATAAAACCTAGCAATGTGTTAGCTTGTTTGACAGCTTTGTCTATCTGCCTTCCTGGCTTTTAAGAATTTATGCACATTTACTCCAAGGTCCCTCAGATCTTTCACTTGTTTTATAATTTTACCCTCATATACTGCTCTTCTTATTCTTTTTCTCAAAATGGAAAACCCCTCATTTTTCTGCATTAAATTTTGTTGCCAATCAACTAATCTGTCAATGTCCCCCAGTACATACTGAATCGGAAAATATTTTTTTAACAAAAAACAAAGATGGGTGGTGGACATAACATGGAATGATATGGCATGAAAACGGGCCATTAGATCCAACTAATCCAGGCCAGTATTTATGCTCCACACTCCTCCTATTCCTTTCTCTTATACCCATCCCTTCTCCTTCATGTCTGCATCAAGTTTCCTCTTGAATACTTTGATGATTTTTGCTTCAACCACAGCTTCCAGCAGTGAGTTCCACATTCTCACTACCTTCTGTGTGAAGAGGTTCCTCTTAAACTCTCTATCAGATCAGTTATTGACTCGCTTACATTGATACCCTTTAGTTATGAACTCACCAACAAATGGAAACAGCCTACTAACTTCCATCTTGTCAAATCCTTTCATAATCTTAAACCCTTCGATGAGGTCCCCTTTCAATTGACTTACCTCCAGAGAGAAAAACTACACTCTTTCTTGACAGCTGTATCCACTCATTCTGGTAATGTCCTTGCTGTCCTCTCTACATTGTGGTCACTCAATCCATAACTGTTTGTGAGACATCGCTATATGCAATTGGCTGCCACGTTTCGCCCACAAAATACCCAGTCACTACATTTTACAGTATATTCTGTGAAACGCTTTTGAGACATCTCAAAGATGTGATAAGGTGCAATATCAAATGCAAGGATTATTATTATTCTCTTTTCGACTGGTGCCATGGGATCTTTAACGTCCACCTGAAAAGGTATAGACAGGACTTGGTTTAACTTCTCATCTGAACGAGAAGGCATCTCTGTCAATGCGACATCCCCCAGCACTGGAGGGACAGCCTAGACTGTGAGTCTGAAGCCCTGATGTGAGGCTTGAATCCACAATCTTCTGACCAAAAGAGAGTGCTAACAACTGAACCAGGCTGACACCTTTTTAGGTATACTAAATGCCATTGGAGACCAAAAAGAGAGAAGACCTGAGAACAATATAATTGGTTGAATGTCAAACATTTTTTGCACATTATTTATGCTGTTTGCACTCGGGTCCTGCAACTCAGCAACAAACAAAAAGCAAAAGCAGATCTGCTGAAAGTCTGGCCTCCGCCTTCCTCGTCAGCCATCTGCACACCAGGTGCAGCTCCAGAGGAGGTGTCAGTACTGATGATGACACATAGGTGTTAATTCATAAGTGTGAAAGACCAAGTGCGAGGGAGACAGAAGCTTAGTGTTGGTATGAAACACATACAGACATGCACAACAGAGAGTAAGTTAAGTTGATAACTGAAAGCAGTGGTTGTTATTTCTGACCCACAGCAGAAGTTATTCCCAGTATCCGAGCTTTTAATATCTAACTGGGTCAGAGTCCCTTTTTTGTTACATCACTTTGATGAATTAACATCATGGCTGAATTTGGGATTCACTTTTCAATTCCCTTAAGGAGGTTGTCTTGCGGACAGCAAGTGAGTGAAGTTGAAGTGTTTTGTTTTAAAAGAAAAGTCTTTTGTTTTGAAAGAAAAAAAATGAGTCATCAAGTTCATACTCTGTCATGAATGAAAAACCACCTTCACTAATTTGAGGGAGGAAGTAGAAGAGAAGATAAGGGCTTTAGTTTGTCACTCCAATTTTCTTCATGTTATATAATTCAACCAAAATTCATCCACTAAATATCTATCCTTTCTCTCCTTCAATACATTATTGCTTCTGTGTCAGAATACTGTGGGTTCAAGACCTCGTCAAGGCTTTAAACCTGTATTGTCTGAGACTCTAGGTTGTAGTGTCAATGAATGACACTGTATAGCAATGTTGAGGTGTGTTGCCTTGTTGGAAGTGTCATCCTTTGGATGAATTAATAATTCAAAGCCCTTTCTGCTTGGTTAGGTGGATGTTAATACCCTCCCCCATGCAAAAAATTGGACTTCTCCAAAAATAGAAGGAAATTTCTTTCTCCTTGTGTCCTGGCCGACAATCCCCCAGGTAAGATTGGTCAGTCACTTCACACTGCTGTGCACACACTGACTACTGCATTTGCTGACAAAACACACAGTCGCTAAACGTTTCAATTTATCCGGTGAAGCACCTCCCAACGTGAAAGGGCCATATCAAAGGCTAAGATTATTATGCTGTATCCTTTTTGTTCATGGGAATTAGTGCTACAGTGGACAATGCGGGTCGATTAGTTCTTTGTTCAGAATACAGATGTGGAGCTGTGAGACTGCCTCTCGAGTCCAATCCAACCTTACATAATTAGATCCCTGGCATTAATTAAATGCTGAAATATCAGCTTTCATGTGCGTGAAGAATTGAGTAAATTCAATCATGCAGGAATGAAATTAGTTTTATTGCTGACATTGTTATTAAACTTATTAAACTAACTGCTCCGAGGTGCACCAGCATGCATTTGTGAAAAACTAATTGAGGGCTGGAACCAATTTGACAGGCTTGGCCAAGAGGAGTTTGCAAGGTGAATATTTCTGTGATTTTACTGTCCAGGCCTGTTCACTCAGATAAGGGCTGAATGCATTCACCCAATGTAACAAGAATCCTTGCTTTTGATATCGTGCCTTATCACATCGTTGAGACATCTCAAGACCTTCACAGGGGTACATTGTAAAGTGGAGTGACTGTGTGTATTTTGTGAGCAAATGTGGCAGTCGATTTGTATACAGCAATGTCCCATAAGCAGCATGATATGAAGGACCAATTTTATTTGGGTGATTGTTGACCAAGACACCAGGAGAGAGAAACTGCCTTCTCTTTTCCAATAGAGTATATTAATAATAATAATAATAATAATCCTTGCATTTGGTACAGTGCTTTTTATGTCAGGAGGATATCACAATGTCAATCGCTTCCTTGCCGGTCTCCCAAGCTCCACTATTCAAAAGATCCAGCTCATTCAGAACTCTGCCCCCTATACACTTACCCAGTCCAAACTCTGTACCCACATCTCACCAGTTCTGGCCAGCTCCAATGGCTCCCCATCACCGAATGGATTGACTTCAAGATCCTCTCATGTGTGTTCAAATTCCATCACTCTCTAACACCTCCCTGTCTCTATGACCTCCTCACTCCCCAATCCACCACCCGGCAATTCCGTTCAGCTGGCAATGGCCTCCTGCTTGTCCCTCGCACCCTCTGCTCTACCATCGAGGTCGCACTTTCAGCCACTATACCGAAACTCTGGAACACTCTCCCTCAATCCCTCTGCCTTGCCCCCTTTCTCCCCTTTTTCAGGTCCTCTTCGATCGTGCTTACGGCCACATCGACCCCCCACCCCCCACCAATCCCCGCCCCACAGGCTCGGTGTCATGCTCCACCACTGCTTAGTGCTCTGAGAAGCTACCCTTCGTGAGGGCACTATATAAGTGCAAGTTGTTGTTGTTGCTTCACAGGATAGTAATAATAA